GGAGTCAAAGAGGCCTTGTTGAAGTCTAGAGATTACACAGCACTGAAACCTGCGTACATCTAGAAATCTTGAAAGTATTGAACTTCGCCAGTCATTAAACACCTTCCAAAGTCTATGAGTCGCTTTTCGCTTAAACTCGATGAAATTGTATGCCACGATGAATTTGGTTTTGCACCATAATTACCTAATTTCCGCATTTCTTATATGAGAACCAGAGCCGGAGCCACACACCGACGTTCAGTCGGAAGTGCAGCGACACCAATAGCAGCTTGGTACACAATAAAGTCGACGCCGCACAACAAAAACATTGAAATCTTGTCGACATCTCGACATCTTTGTCATTGTCATCGTACTTGCGGGCAGCGAAGACGCTTTGTGCCTCGGTGAGTTGACGACAGTTGGTTGCACTATTGACAATGAAAACAACCAACAGTCAACAAGCAGGCCAGTCAACCAGCGCGCAACAATAACAAAGTGTAACTACCAATAAAAATAACATTGCGTATGAAATGTTTTAAATAATCGGTAACAACAACAGCAGCAGCAGCATATGGTGGCGATGTGTTTACACGGGTGCGTGCGTTTGTGTGTGTGTGGCTCGGCTTGGTGTTGCTTCTGCACACACTAATTTAATTTTAATTATCTACGATTAGTGTGCACTTTTCGGCTGCCATTCGACGGACGGACGGACGGCCATTCTCATCAGTCAGCATTTGACGCTCGCGACATTCGCCGGTTTGTCTGTATTTTACACACACACACACACACACACATAGAAACTTGCCGTACAGCTCATTCCAGTCTCATGTGCGAACGCATGTACATTTGTGGCTATGTGTGTGAACATCTACTCGTTGTCACATTCTCTTCACGCGATAAGCATTTGACTTTTCTGCTGTCACCCTTACTTACGAGTTTCGCTTATTCCAGTCAAATCTTCCAAATGAATTTTTGATAATCTATATTAATGTTTTATATACATGTGTGTGTAAATATATTCGCTGAGTAAACTAATAAACAACTCTCGATCTCTGTCAGATCTCTTTGAGTTATCCTAGATAGAGAACTAAGCTGGAGAGAAGAGTTTCCAATGCACTTCGAATTTGAAACTATGAATCATTACACCAAAGTGAGGTTTTCAACTCGAGTGGTTTATTGGTTCTACACAAGTTTCAACCGGCCCATACTGGTATGGTATCGAAAATGTGCCGCATTAAACCTCTGAAACAAGTACAACGGCTTGCTTTCTGGTATTAAGGTGTAATGAAAATTGCATCAACAAAAACTCTGGAACTTATGAGGCACGGCTTATGGGCAGCTGGCTTACAATTTGAGGCGATTAGAACCAACTTCGACATACTTGCGGGTATGATATCATACTGCAAGTTTTAATCGGGCTAAATGGACAATTCCACCGAGAAAAATAGATCCATGAGGTACTAAATACAACGTTTTCATTCCCCAGTAGAAAATAATGAATCAATATTTCTATTATTGACAGTTCCAACTGCGAAATCTACATATTCACCCACGGATTAAAGTGTGAAGTAGAAAGAGCAGCGGACTTTCATATTAATCCATACACGGAACGTAGCGTCAAACTAAATGACTACAATTCAACACTTCAGTCCGAACTTGTGGGCATAACAGAAAGTGCCAAGTGGGCCTCAGCTCTAACCAGTAAGGTCATAAGCTTATAGTGAATAGCCAAGCGGCATTTAGGTATTATAGCGCCAATACTATGTCTCATTTCCTTAGGCTAAGCAAGCAGGCAAAAACTCGACAGCCAAACTGAGCCGTTTGAAGGCAGTTGGAAACACAGTTTCCCAAAGCTGCGGGGAACCGTTCAGTTCATTTAAGGTTTGTTGGAAGCAATGAACCCTAGCGGAACACCTCAAGTTTGGGAACACTAGGTTTAATGAGCATACCTCGGAAACTATCCTTATCCTTAGAAAACTTTTTATGTACTGTGAAAATCGTTTAAATCAGTTGATAACCACGCCCACTCACCACATAATGGTTATATTGTGAAAACTACCAAAAGTGCAATAAGTACATAAAATCTGAAAACCAAGATGGGAGCTGGTGTCAAAAGCGTATAACGGGCTGTCACTGTCCAACTTTCGTTGAAATCCCATAGCACAGGATCTGCACGCCCTATTATTTATTTGATATTATTCTGGCTTGTTTATGTTAGTTTCTGAAAATGTATCATAATTTTAAATTTTGGAAATTTTGCTTACAAAGTGTATTTAAAGCATGCAATATAATCTCTAAAAATTGTCGAAATCGAACCATCAATTTTCAAATTCTCAGACACCGAATATGTGGAACTCACTACTTATGGTTAACTTTTCACGGAAAATATCGGACAATCTGTGTGTCTTTTGACCCTATCGTCGCATACATTATACATTCGATTATATATTATTGCCGAATTCTTTGGCAACATTTTCTTATATAAAGTATTACCAATACGTGAAATCTTTTTCTCGGCTTTGATCCTTGCGAGAGCATAAAATGCTCGTTTACAACCGAATGTAGCGCTTTCTTGCTTGTTATAGATGTACCAAACATTCGTCTACCTCTGTTAAGGCTCGCGCGATGACTTTCTTATAACCAGCAGCAATAGAAGGTGCATGGTCGCCTTGCACGAATGCCGTGCCCTTTGCCGAAGCAACGGAAGTGCCGTATTCTTCTAAAGCACACACAGAAGCGATAAAGTGATTAACTTGTGTGGCGTTAGCATTGCATTTAAAAGTACTTTGGTTGTAAAGTGTAAACACAACAAGTTGCATGACGCAAGTTGCTAAACCAACGTGTTGCGTGTGGCGCCTGCCGAACATCTACAGATGAGAGAACATAAAAACGGATAATGTTGGCAGAGAATGATGTTAGTAAATCTAATTATAATTAATGTTAGTACTGCTATAATTAACGATCGCTGTTAAATATTGTAACGGGTGTTTGTTTTAGACGTAACAGATCAATTGAAAGGCCCCCGGCCTACCATAGTAACAGTAATTTTTTTGGCAAAATTTCTATTTATATTCAACATAATTGCTTGCAAAGGTAACACACTGATTATAGAGACCCTCTAAATTTTCGATACCATTTTTGTAGAAAGAATTGTCCTTTGCTTCAAAACAGATCTCTGTTTCGACGATCATCTCTTCATTTGACGTAAATTTCTTCCTAGCGAGCATACTTTTGAGATCCGACGACAGAAAATAGTCGCTGGGAGCCAGATCTGTAGAATACAGTGGTTGCGAAAACAAATCGAAGCCTCATTCTAGATGAATGATGAGTAATAACGCTTTGTAATAGTCGCTGTTGATGGTCCTCCCTTTTCAAGGCAGTCAATAAAAACGCATGGCGCATCCCAAAATACAGACGTCAAAATCTTGTAAAGCTGACTGTTACATTTTTCCATGCTTTGGAACCTGTTCATCGTGTGCAGTCCACTCGAATAACTGTTGATATGACTTCGGAGTGAAATGATAATGCTATATTTTATACGTGGTCACATATCGACCTAAAAACTCTTGTTTATAAAGCTTGAACACTGCTCCGAATTACCAACTCGCGCGGCATCCACTTTGCTTAGAGCATTCTGATATCCAAATATTCGTGAATGATATTATGTTCACGTTCAGTTGATATCTTTAGAGTGCCTACTATCTCGAACAACTTCACTTTACGATCAACCAAAATTATGATGTGTGGACTTTTTTGATGTTTCCGTCGGTAAAAACCTCTTTTGGACAATCACTACGTGCACCGTTATCGGTGCTGGTTTGACCACGTCTAATCTTAGCATACCAATCATCGATGGTTGATTTTCCTGTGTCAGCGTCCGGAATATATATATTTTCCCCTTTCAAAAAACAATATTTTATCAACAAAAGTTGCTTCACTCAAAATGTTATAAGTCACAAACTAATGATTCGATGATCAAATTTATGCACACGCCTTTTTAGGGTTAGGGCTAACTAAAAATCTTCTAGTAGCACTATGTATGTGCCAGGCTGCGAAGCAATACATTTTTTCGGAGAGAGTCTCTTTGACAGCTGAACATATTCACTCCGGATCATGGATCTATTTCTCTATTGAATAATGAGCGTGCTCGGAAACACTATTGCTGCCTTGGAGCAGAGTATGTAAGAAAACCGGGATGAGTCCATCCGCTGAATAAAAGTTAAACGACCATCAATCTCGTCGCAAGTTGGGTGAATGAGCACAAAACAAACTATAATACATCCATAAAATTTTGTTGAAACGCTGTGAAATCCTCAAAATGTGATATTTTCCATGGACAGAATCATTAATCCGGCCACTATGTTGCAGCAAAAATGCAATGCAGGAACGCTTTAGTGTCATTAATGAATATTTCGTATCCGAATTGAACGATTTGGATGTGGACGACCTTTGGTTCCAACCAAACTATGTTTATTATCATTCGAAAGAAAATGTTTTGGTATTTATTTTTTGAAGATTACCTCCTTCAAATGTTGGCCGCGGCTACGTCTCAAATGGTGCATCCGTTGAAGCTTTCGACCGACTGATAATTGGCGAATGACACGCGTAAGGTCTTGCTCGAAAATATATTGGATCAGCCGTGATCTCTACTTGGATCAGTCTCATAATAATTGGCATTTTAGAACAGCTAACATTCACGCCTTCTCTGTGTAGTAACATAGCCTCTTTTTAAAGTTATTAGCAAACTGTCTAATTAGCAGCTGTTTAAATAACATTTAATAGGTACATCGGTGTTTCGGCAGCGCGAACATCAAACATGCTCGACAGCGCGTGCGTTGACGTACGTTGCTGGCGCAACTGTCAGCGCGCACAGCGCTTGCATAGATATAATATTTAACATGCTGACAAGCGTGCCGAACGCAGCGCTGTTAACAGCCGAGTGCGCGAGCCTCCGAACGCAGACGGCAATGCGACGGATGCGAATAAGCAGCTGGTTTAGTGATAGTTTAATAATCGTTGAGTTCACATCTAATGTCGGAAATCGCAGTTCCCAGTTCCGCATCTGTCTTTTGATAAACTTTATTGAGGTTGTTTGAAATTAATATCCATCTAGCTCTATATGTTAGCGTATGGCTGCGTTGCATTCAAACATTTCAGTGCTCAGTGCCCGACAACAACACATATATTTAACACCACCTACACCCAATACAAACACAAGTTAACGAGTGAATTCGTGAATTCAAAAACTCCCCGGTGTTTCAATAAATTTTTTGATGAAATAGCGCACGAAAATTACACAAAATTTAAAAATGCCGCTGAATAAGCTTAGAAAAAATATGAAAATGTTGTTGTGAAATATTATTCATCGGCTGAAAGTGAATCAACAAGAATATTAAATAATAGTGTATTTAGTTCTAAGAAAAAATAAATAAATATACCCAACAAGGTGAATCATGAAATAGCGCTTATGGCATACGAAATCGTTTTTGAATATCACAAGTGAAATTCGAATTTGAAAAGTAAGCTATTGGAAAGAAGTAGACACCTAAAAAATTTAAAAAATTAAAAAAAATTTTTTTCGAAGAAATGTTGTTTGAAAAATTTGAAATTGTGGCAACACTACAGTAAAGCATGATAACTTATTGTAAGTTGCTTAGTGATTTTGTTTGTTGTGAAAATCAAATATACCGTCGGTACTGGATTTGTTTTTGTTTTTGAACAATTTTTCCACCAAACGGATCAGCCAGCTCGAACTCGAGCAGAACTACTTACGAGCGAAAGCTCGATTTGGTTCTGTCCATGGTGACCATAGAAAATGCGAAAATTGAAAACGCGTCGCGCACACAACCGTTGCGACGATACCTTAGCAGCTGCACCGCCGTGCCCGCAGATCTACGAGACGTCGTAAATGTTTTACAGTTGTACGTACGCAAAGAATATATGTACAATGGTGAACCAATGTGAAAATCGGCAAAGAAAAATCCATGTATAAAAATAAAAACAAGCATACGTATGTATTTATGAGTGTGCGCGTGTGTATATGTGTGGGTATTTTTTATTTTAGCGAGCAAAGAGACGTGAAATTGGGAAATTGTGAACTGTAGCGGCAAAATTGGGGCAGCTCGCTGACGATAGACAGTCGTCAGGTCGCTAAGAGACTGTGTTAACTCAAAAGAAAGTGTGAACGAAAAAACCAAAAAAAAAAAAAAAAAAAAATCGAAAAGTCAAAAAATGCATTTTCAGTGTTTTCGAAAGCTAAGTGAAACAAATAAAGTGTATACAACATGGACGTGCGTGTATAATCTGGTGTTGTTTGGAAATGAGCTGTGCGTTTTTGAAAACGAAGCGTTTGAAAATGTTTAATGAAATAACAAATGGCTGTTGTGGATAAAAACAAAATTACATTTACGGTATATAAAGCAGTGTTTGGCTTGTCGTTTTTAACTCAGCATATACGAAAAATTCAAAAATTGTTTTTGTGAGATACTCTCAAACTAAATATATGGATTTCGAAGAATATTGTGCGCAATCAAACAAACTGAATGTAATCGTAGCAGTTTTCATAACAAAAGAGTTTTCATCATAAAACAGTTTTCATACAAATTATATAAATAAACAGTAATAAATATTTTTCGAAAACAAACTTCATACAATTCTATGCAACAATTATCATAATAAACCATACTCTAATTGGCTACAAACAGCTTGGCAAAAAGTTATATTAATTATCAACAATGTAATTTGCCGCCGGATTTTAAGCAAAACACAATTAAAATATGGCTTCGACAATCTCAATAACTTTATCAAATGCCAACCAAGTGCAGATTTCTATTGACGAATAGAGCAAACAAAACAATAGCATGAATCGTATAAACTGACGTAATTGCAAAGAGATAATAACAGCACAAAAGCATAGAACAGTTATATTATAAAACCCACTCAAATCAGGTGTCCATACTCATACACTATTTTTAACTAGAGAACTATGTTTTTGGAATGACTGTATAGAATTTTTTTTTTCTTTTTTTGTCTAAACAGCGTACAAACGTAGTGTGTAGAGAAAATATACGAGAATTTATGGAGACTATTGCTGGTTTCGTAATTTAATCGATTAACATAGAATTTACAAAAAACACTTGATAAATATTAATTGAATCGTTGGCACAATCGATGCCTTTAATCATCAGGAGCATTTCTCTTATTGTACTTCATAGCGCTCTAGAAGTTAACTTTTTACTGTCGGGTGTTCCGGTATTCGTGGTTTGAAACTCATGAGAATTTTTGTAAAATTTCACACAAATATGCACTCTTCTTCTTTCATTGTCACCTTGTCAGCATAAGTTCGAAATTCAGTTAATTATAATATCTACTCTCTTACAAATAGTTTTTCTTGGTAAAAATACTCACATATCTAACTTAAAAGCATAGATTTTTTTATACATATCGTCACTTAAAATGCAAAACAACGGAACATCACTTTTCATAAGTTGACAGACGAAGAAAAAGCGGTATAATAGACACCACTCATATTGAAATAAAATTTGAGTTTTGGTTATAAAACATTTATATATTGGTTATTTATTGGTTATATATTGGTTTTTTATTGGTTATATATTGGTTATTTGCCAGCTATATCTGACAGGAGAAGCTGAAAATTTTTTGTGAATATAGTGAATCGTAAGCAATAAAAACACAATTTGGGTGCTTTTGATAATACGTTGGTTTGCATTTTAGATGATAATATATTTATTATAACCATATACTCTCTAGTTTGATAGTAGCTATTATAGAATACAGAATTTCAAAAGATTACGCCTTGGAAGCACGAACGAAATCGCGAACCATGAAAGTTTCTTGATTATTCATATTCTTAAAAAATAAATAACAAGATAAAATGTTCAGTTCAGAAGGGTTAAATACCCTTCACAAACGCGTTTATATCGCATAAACGGGTATAAACTAACCTTTATTCTGATTTTGATCGGTCAGTTTGTATGACAGCTAAATGATAAATATAATGGTAAGATTTGAAGAATATTTTACAGCTGAATATACTTATCACATATAGTTGAACTTCCATAACTCAAACTACCCTACTACGAAGTTCTCCATAAGTCGAACTCTCGAATTTGCAATATAAGTCAAATTACCTTCGATAAAACGAACTTTTAAATTGCCAAGTGATTCTGTAAGTAACATTTTTCGGTGTAAGCCCATTTTTTACACAGCTGCTCACGTAGAAGTCGCCGCGCGCATTTATCCTTTCAAATATTATATGTACGAGTACAGATTATATTGACAATTAGTTTTGTTCAGCCGAATTTCTAACAGGCCCATTGAATATGACTTCTAGCACCATGGAAGTCGATGAGTATTCTGAAGGAGAAATTAATCAATCGGCATTGAAAAATGCTATAACTTTGCAATTTTAAGTTCTTATTTAAATAGGAATATTAATACAACGAAAGACCACTACAAAGCACTTAACAGTTTAGAATCTCTTTTCACTCAAACCAACAAGCAAAAAGTATCTGTAAATTTGCTAAGCCAAAAATACAAAATACATGTTTTATGTACATAAGTAACAAGTTTTATGCGAAGTAAATAAATAGCCTGTAGATCTATATTTTAGAGCTTTTGACCTAAAGACTCTCTAACTCGGAAGTTTTTTGTGAATAATTGCGATTTCAGTTAGGCAAGTTTAACTGAATGTATACAAACTTTATAAGAAAAAAAAGTTTGCCTTAAAATAATCGAACCTTAACAGTTAGTATCTTTTAATGGGTCATATAGGTTTCCTCGGGTAAAAAACAGCCCTTTTTAATTTGTTTTTTTTTTTCATATAAAAAATAGAATATTTTATTCCAATTTTTTATTGTTACAAACATAAGTATACTATTAACAAAGAAATACTGACATTTATGACAAAAAATATTTTAAAATCGGCAATTGCGACGACATTTTTTTTAATAGATTTAATAGAAAAAAAGTCCTTCGTCCAAGTCTTGAAGAATTGTATCTCAAACACCTGTGTAAAATTTCGTGAAGATCAGTTGGATAGTTTTCGAGAAATCTCGCCAATCGTCTTCAAAAACACTGATTTAGAAGCTTCATGAAATATTCTCAAAGTTTATTTTCTTTTTCACTGAATTATCTTCTAGCTAAACTAAAAAAATCTAAGAAAAGTAAAGTTTGAACATATTTTGAAACAACATAAAGTAAAAATTTTTTGGTCAAAAACCACTTCTTTTCAATTTGTTATTTTTGTCTTAGTCTAACTGCATCCTACCCGCCGTCCGACAAATGCACATGCGAAATGCATCGGGCAATTGATTCCCAAAAGCGGAATACCAAAGATTTCGTATCCAAAAAAAAAAAATTGTGAACGATGTTTAAACATATATTATAAACCTTAGAAGTTTTACTTAAATCACTTATTTCTTTCCTTCCCAAATAAATCCTCAAAAAAATCGATTTTTTGAAGCCTCTAAACCACGTTCCCCCTTTAAAGACATAAGGATGGCGCACATACATAGCTAGCCTCGAGCGCACAAATTCTCAAGGCTGTATCCCCGAAACTATTAATCGGATCAACTTAAAAATTTAGGGCAATATTCTAGAGGTGTTGTGGAATTTAATAAGACAATAAAAAGGTTTTTTTTTTCTTAACCCCTAAACCCCTTAAGCGCTTACGTTTGCGAAAAAATTGTAAGAGCTGTTTTTGTAAAGCATTCAATTAATAACAAAATCCATGAAACAAGTTGGAAATAGAAAACTATAAGGCGAAGGATCTTACCGCTACAATTGAGAGTTCATATTTAGAGAGATATTCTTATTTAAAGTCGTCCATCGCGAATCAAAATCAAACCTTCAAGAAAGTCAAGTAAAATGAACGCAGAACTAACACAGCCATTTTGTCAACAATCGTTGTAACATGCGCCAGCAATTACCGGCGAAATTAAGTGAGCCAACTATTAGAGAGTACGTTCTTATATTATAATAATATTATTTATATTATAATCATCAAAATTGCATGAAAATTAATTCGAAATACGCTAAACATTTACCTGCCAAATGAAATTACTCACCAATTCGCAAAGGAAAACGCGTGTATTTCAGAATTTTCAAATTCGAATTGTGGGTGTGCATCCAACGCACACGATCACAAAGTCACATGCACACACACACACATCAACAGCACAGCATTTGCATACATGCATACACAAACAAACATGCATGGCAGTATTTAAAGGGGGCTCTAGTGATACGCCGCTCGATAAGGCGAGAGAATGCGTGTGAAATGCTATGAGCAACGCGATATATTTGTTTGTTTGAATAACGCACATAGTACATACATACATACAAACATACGTGTATGTATATGAGCCGCACGCCCAAGTGCCCGTGGTGGTGGCGGCATGAGCGCTAAATATAAGAACGCCGCTATATACAAACATATATATACCAGATATTTGTAGATATGTAAATATGTATATATATATATGTACGTATAATTATAAATGTATCTACATAGCATGTGCATAAATTAATGTACATATATGTATGTATGTATGTATGTAGGTGCACGGCCTTAAATGTGAGTGCGTGCGATATGTGAGGCTGAATGTACACAATCGCATGTATCAAATATAATATAAACACATTCATACACACACATACAGACAGACATAATTATTCTTAATGCTGGCAGGCGAATGCGTTGCTCGCGCATGAAAATCTTTTGAATTTTCCTCGACTTGGCGCACGTCAGCGACAGCGACAGCGGCACAGTCACCGCCGCCACCATCGCCACCAACACAGCAACACTAGCAGCTGTTGCCATCATATTTACATGCGTACATACATATGTATGCATGTGTGTATGTGTGTGTGTGTGTAGTCGGCTGCTGTCTGCGGCACTTCACTTTGCTTCACTCAACTCGGCTCTCGTATTCGGTGGAGCGAGTCGATCGTTGATCGCTGATCGTTTTACGAGCATGCTCGCGTATACAATATCTCTGTTGGCTGCTTATTTTTGTTGCTACCGACTTGATTGTGTTTGTTTTTCTTAATGTTATTGTTGTTTTTGTTATTGTTATTGTTGGTGCATTTGCCGCACACCGCCGATTTTTGTTTTAGTCTCTTTATCAATGTTGATGCTGTTGGTGTTGGTGTTGCTGTTGCGTTTTTTGTTATAATTACATTGTCTAAAATTAGAGAACGTGGTGTGTCTGGCATATCGCACATCTCGGCTGCCAAGCGGGTAGCTGCGAAATTGAAACGAAAACGCTGAACATTGAAGAAGTGGCAGCAACGTTTGTACTCTTCTTGTGTTTAATTGTATCTCGTCTCAATAGACCTAAAGGCGGGTCACCGTCAATGGCATTCTAATCAAATAGAGATTGAGATTCAGTGCCAGAACGGCTGCTGGCGCGCTCTTTTGTAGTGGCAGCACTAACAATGTCACAGACAACCACGTACACTTTATTGTTGTCTCCTCATCTGCTCACAGTTCGTTAAGCTCATCCTTCTCAGCGAGACTAGTTGTCGTGGTCCGTGGTTTTCGTCAATCGTTTCTGCTATATGAGTCGGAGTCGGTGGCGTTAGCGTCGTTGGTATCGGCAACGTCTTTGTCATCGTCGTGGTATTGACAATAAGAAAACCCTGATGCCGAGGATAAGAGTTGCAGTGAAGGCGGCGTGAAAACGTTGGCGACGTTAGCAACCTGACTACACTCTTTATGAATCAGCGCGGAAATCGTAGACATATGTATATGCGTGGCGACACGCCTACATAATACATGTATGTATGTATGTATGTATATAGACACGAATTTGAACAATTGCGCATATGTACATATGTACATATGTAGGAGTGTGTTGGTTTATTTGTAGGCCGTCCATATGTGGCGCTTCAGTATCCACTAATTCCTGCTAATTAGCTGCTATGAACTAAATCAATGTCTTGGGTGCTGTCATTATCAAAATTATTGGATATTTAGACAAATGCTTTTAAAGTTCAGAGTTTTCTTACAGGGCAGCCCATTCAAATACACACAAACACCCACACACACACAGTTAATGCTTTTTTTGCTACCGCTACTGTTCGGGTGAATTCATATCCGAGTACTTTCTGACCAGTCATCAGCGAGTATACACGAGCCGATCATCGACTTCGTTTCACATTATTATTAACCGGCAAAAGCACATGCCGGCTAAAATCGGCGAAATAGTGCAATCTGCCGCCACAATTCTGATGAAATTTACAACAAAAGCAAATTCAAACAATATAATAGTATAGAACACCGTTAAGAAAATTATATTTGGCAAAAAAAAAAAAACATATTTTGCAGCTTCACTTCAGTTTATCTATACCTGATTCGTGTAAGTAAGTCGTTTGTCTCCTGACTTTGCTGGCTTGGACACATGTCCATTTATATATTTTATTCGAGAGCAGCAAAAAGCACTGAATTAAAAAAAATCGAGGCTATGAAATTTCCATTCACCTCTGCATACGCAATTCGGGTGCTTGTTTTTCTACAGACATTACGTATACGCCACGTTGAGCCCTGCTCGCTCGTTACTCTCATCGGCAATTGATTAGACTGTCTACCTTACTGACCATTTTTTTTTTTGTTTTTAATTTTTTTTTTTTTGCAGTGCTTTTATGTGCAAGTTTTACTTAAGAGCAAGCTCACTCACTACAATAGTAATAAATACTGTTACTATTGTAATAAATACTGAGTGAACTTGCTCTTTGTCAATACAGATTTTTTTCTGCAATGAATTGAGTGTCTGCTCAATATTATTTTTAAGTAGACGAGGTAATATTTAGTTAATATCAAATATATGAAAATACATAAATGACTGTGTGATACGCCAAGTGAATCGAACAAGCTATGGCAATTTTTCAAACAATTTGGCAGCACTGACATTGCAATACCATGCGCTCTCAATTACTCAGTTTCGTTAAAGGAAAAACTTTTGTGTTCTCTTAAATTTGCGGCGTATGTTTTCTATAAACAAATGCACTTTTTATATTTATTTTCGTGAGAAATTTGCCAAATGAGCCATTCACAATGATAAAATTAGTATAAAATGTTTATAATAAAACTTGACAGCCCTGGCATCCGTAAAGAGGACCTTTATAGCCACCCTATCAAAACCATTAGTTATGGCCCCTTTTAAGCTGCTTGAGAGCAATGAATCCGCATTAAAGAGTAGCTCGGTTCCTCGGTTCTCCTAAGCCCTATAGAGAGACATGATTTTGATCATTCAGTTTGTATGGCCGCTTTAACCTATTTTAATCCGATATTGACGATTCTCGCCAATTTTTACAATACAGACGGGCATGGCTAAATCGACTCAGCAGGACATGTTTACCGTTATAAACATTGTGACAAAGATGTACCTGCAAATTGTAAAAAAAAAAGGGAAATATTTATTTTCTCAACTTCAAAGTAATCCCCACTCTTGCGAACGATTTTTCCAGTCCTCGAAACACTTTTCAAAAGCATTTTTTGCGATTGACTTCTGCTCTTTCAGCGAATTTTGTTTTATCTCTTCGATTAACTGGAAAGGTTCCATGGAGGGGAAATTTTAATTTGGCGAACAAGAAAAATAACGCGGAGCCAATGCGGTGGTTGATCGAAGGTATTCGTTGCGTGTTTGGCTACAAATTTGGTAAGAATCGTGGATCGATGCGATGGTGCATTGTCATGGTGTAAAATTCATGAATTTTTTTCCACAACTACGGCCGTTTTCGACGGATGTTCTCACGCAAATGCCTCAATACGGCCAAATAGAAGTCCTTATTGACCTTCTGTTCCTCCGGAAAAACTACATGATACACCAAACTACGAATATTGAAAAAACAATGAGTATCAACTTGATTTTTGAACGGCTTTGATTTTTATTTTTTTTTAATTTTTTTTTTTATTTTATTTTATTTTTTTTTTTGATTTTATGTTTGGTTTTATCTGCATGCCAAACTCATAATACTCTCAATGAATGTGGGTTGGGATCAAGCATGTCCAAAGAGATCTGTTTACGGTACTCTTTTTGAAGAAAATTCATCTTTATCGAGACGAGTCGAGTCGTTTTCATACGCAAAATATTCATCAAAAGCATTCGAACGGACTCGAAAAAGATGTTGAGCTCTCTTGTCAACACACTTCTCTCCATTTGTAACCCCAAACTGCCTCTGTAAACAGATCGCGCTCTTATTTGACATAGTAATTAAGGACAGTCAACTTGGAAAAATACATTTTTTTGAGCAATTTCCGGGTGTCTGTCATTATCTATGTCTCTATTTTCTTTCTAGATATTACAATCTAAGTATACCCTGTTTAGGGTGTAAATATGAACAGAGCAATAACATTTGAATATCTGTGTAGAGCGTCGTGTCTATTTCATGCTAAATTTTTGTTATGTAGAGTGAGACAATTTCAACTATTGAAACTTGAACGGAAACTTTAACAAAATAAAATAATTCGTGTATTCAAAATTATGCCAAATTTGGCAGCCAATTTAGACATTTATTTATAGTGTTTTAAATATAATATTGGAAGTGTCTTAACCGATATAGAGAAACCGAAACAATCAAAAGTGCTAAAAACACCACTCAAACAGCCCAAACACAGACACAATCAACGCATTTCACAACATTAAGAAATTCAAATTCAGAAAAAAATGTTTACATTGGGTTTTCTAAGCTCAAAATTTTGAATTTTTCAGAAAATCGACATACAGTGGAACAGCATTAACATTTTACTTGATATACATATGTATGTGTCTATGTGCTAGTATATAATATATAGTATAATAAACTACGCTTTGCGCGAGTAAAGAGAATAAATATGCAAGAAGTGTTTCTAACGCGACAAAATGCAGCACGAAGAATGCGAGAATAAGTGGAAAAGCATAGTGAAAAGATTTTAAGAGAAATCAAAACGCATTAGAAATATAAAAACCGAGTCTCGCAAATATTCAATAACAAAAATCAGTGATATAAAAAGCAAACATTTTCGTTATAGACGCAACAGCAACAACAGTAGAACAAGTGACAATGTGGCTTGCGAATCATACTTATCGACAGCATTTCATGCGAAAACCACAACAACAACACGGACACACGGCCAAAGCTAAAGGCAGCGCAGTGCCCGCCAGGCAGCTTGTTAGCAGTTAAGGCAGCAACAACACAGACAAGCGAACTGCTTACGAGAGTGAAATAAAAAATAGTAAAAATAATAGCAACAAACCAAACATCGTTTACGCCGGCAATTCGAAGAAATTTTCCAAAGTAAAACGCAGCTTGAACTATTGTGCTGTGAAAGCAACTAAAAAACTAAAATTAGTAGCAACAAAACAAAAAAAAAAAAAAATAAAAAACAATTAAGAAGTTGAAGAAGTAAATTATAAGACGGGCGCGTTTAAAATTGAACAAATTTAAACAAAAAACGTCGATTGTCGCTGGCACAAAGTGAAATTCGGTGTATTCTGTGCGTCGCTGTAGAGTTGGTACTAACTCTCCTACGGGCGGACGCCATGTATGCGCGAGTATTGCGCAAATGGAGTCTACAAACGAAACCGCAAGTATTTATGAACATGTGGCGGCTGCTGCTGCTCACCCTGCTGCTGATCTGTCTCTACACAACGCCGGTCACATGCCTTACAACCGCCTACGCCCAACGCCTGCGTGTGAATCGGAGCACAGCGCCTGCCATCGCGCCACTGATTGCCACCGCGTCTGCGACTGTCAATGCGGCGGCAGCACTAACGGCTCCTCTACCAACAACAACAGCAGCAGCAGCAGAAGTACCAGCGGCAGCAGCAGTGGCGAGTGCAAACACACGCGAACTCGTATCAGCAACACAGCCGCTCACGCCTTCAGCAGCAAAAGTAGAAGCCGCCACTGTTGGCGACATCATCGAAGAAAGTTTTTACATACCCGTCGATGGCGCCGACACAGATAGCAACATCTATGGCGGCAGCAGCAGCCGTCTAGTGCAAGCGCTAGACGTTCATGGTGCAGCGGGTGCAACAGCAGGTGTAGATTTAGTGGGGCACAGTGGCAGCAACGACGTGGCGGTCAGCGGCAGCAGCAGCAGCAGTAGGATATTTAGCAGTAGTAGTGTAATGAACAGCGATAACAGTGGGAGACAGCAACAACAACATATAAAACAAGCGCAGCTATATAAACAAAGCAATGGTTTGGGTGCAACCGAAGCAAATGCAAACGATTTGGCCTACGCGTTTTATCGACGCCCAGTGCCACAATCATTCTACCAATCAGCGAAAGCTTTACAAGCAACCACAAAGCCAACAGCAGTAGTGATGGGGGCACAGGCGCCAACAACAGTATTTAGACCGCAGTTTAGCGCCCACTACGTGGCGAACGATGAACGCGTTGCCAACGATGGTGATGAGGAGGAGGATGACCATGAGGAGGATGAAGAGGAGAGTGAGGAGGAGGAAGCTGAGGATGTAGATGATGATGTCGATGGCGACGCCGATGTGTATGCGCATGCATCGGACGAGGGCGGCGACGACGACTATGGTCGTCAGCAACAAGAAAAAGTTCCAAATAATAAAAATAGTCACATAATTAATTTATTTAAACCATATAAACATAGCAACATTAATAACTACAATACCAATTACAATCGAAACACCAACACCAACTCAAATTTACATAAAACACATCCAGAGCAACTGCAACAACACACGCGCGGCAGCGCGGCAACTGCGCGACCACTACACACAGCGTTCAGCAGCGACACACTAACGTACGCGGCGGACAAGCGCAGCTACAAGGCGCGCCGACATGCGCCGCTTACAAATACACAACAACAACAACAGCATTCAATGCGATTGCATGCCGCGCATACGCCAAGGAACGCACAGCACGCGCTCACCAGCACACCGCTGCCCATCGCCGCGTACCCCACCAAGAAGGTGTACCAGCTGGTGAACGGCAAGAATTTGACGCGCCTTGTGCACATCCTGCCGCCCACACATTACCGCTTTACCGCTTATGAAATACCCGCGTCACTACCATACCGCGGAGAGTTGACAGAGCAGCAACGACGCGCGCTGCAGCAACAGCACGAGCAGCAATTGCAGCAAGATCAAACGGCGCGCTCACGCCGCGACTCGCGCGTCTTTGGCTTGGCGCAGTCCATGAGTAGTGGCATTAACGCTGGCTTCTACAGCATGCAACAGGCGCCAGAGCTCACATTGGCGCAGCAATTGAACGCACAGCAACAACACCAGTACCAACGCTTGCAACAAGCAAGCAGCAGTGCTGGTGGCAACAGTTGGCAGCAAATGAGCGGCAACATGTACCAACGCCAAACGCTGGAGCTGCATCGCAAGCAACAACAGTATAATCATCATAAACACCAACACAATAAGGGCGCACAAGGCGGTATGGGCGTCAACAACAACAACCATCAACGTAATACGCACAGTGGTCATCATAGCAACAACAACAAACACAATCAGCGTCAACGTCAACGCAAGCGACCGCGACGCTATTGTTCGGCGCGCGATCCGGCACAGTTGGCGTTCGAGGCGCCCATCGTGTTTGAGGGCAAAATCACATCGATGTCACCGGACCGCCGTCACAACTTTGCCGCCACAGTGCAAGTGCTGAACGCATACAAACAGCAGATTGGCTATCAGGTGAAACGTGAACAATTCGTGCGGCTGCAGTTCGAATATATCAATAGTAGCGGCGAGTGCGACATCTATCGCGAGCAGCTGCGACCGCGCGGCCTAGTGCGTGGCGACGAGCTGGAGCTGCAGCGCACCTATCTATTCTTCGTGCAACAGATCGATATGCGCAACTTCACCATACTCGGCCAGCCGATCAGGAAGACGCGGCGCGTCATCGAAGCAGTGAAGGATGCCGTGAGCGAAAATTATGGTGAGTTGAAATTTTCGTATATTTTCAATTGAACTATTTTTGAAGAGGCATTTAGAGCAAAAGTAATATTTCGCAATTAAGTTGGAAAATTCGAGCTTCGTGGTTGTTTTATGTAATAGCTGGTGCCTACCTTGGCATTGCAGAAGTTTCATGCATTTCAGGCTTATACCACAAACCAAGAAAGCTCAGACATTTTACGCATACCTCGAAACGTGGTGCCTTAGTAGCGGCCTTTAAGACTCTGTTCAGACGAGGACTGTTGTGTCGACCAAACAGGGTTTTCAGACGAGGGCTGTTGTGTCGCCCCAGCCGGTTTTGGGTAGATGCGATACCAAAAGAAAAATTTTCGATATGGAGCAATAAAAAAATCATAGTTGGAACGCGGTTTTAGCTTCCGCGAATGTATATCAAGTTTATACCTCTTCTTCTTCTTAATTGGCGTAGACAGCGTTTACGCGATTACAGCCGAGTTAACAACAGCGCGCCAGTCGTTTCTTCTTTTCGCTACGTGGCGCCAATTGGATGTTATAAGCGTAGCCAGGTCCTTCTCCACCTGGTCCTTCCAACGGAGTGGAGGTCTTCCTCTTCCTCTGCTTCTCAGCGTCGAATACTTTCAGAGCTGGAGTGTTCTCGTCCATTCGGACAACATGACCTAGCCGCCGTAGCCACTGTCTTTTAATTCGCTGAACTATGTCAATGTCGTCATATATCTCATATACTCGTAGCTCATCGGTTCCATCGATCAAGTTCATACCACAAACCATTAAATTTGTTAGTATCGATATGAAACACACAAGCTCAGACATACTATGCATTCCTCAAAAAATTATCTTGTAGATGCGGTCTCTAAGGCCATGTTCAAACGAGGACAGTTGTGTCGACCAAACCAGGTTTTCAGATGTGGAATAATTTTTGGTACACGCGGAGGCGATGAGCAAAGACGTAGAGAGCGTAACGCCACAGCAGAAGAAAATTTGTCGATATCGAGCGATAAACAGAGTCTTCGTCTGAACTTTTTGTCGCTCGAACTGGTTTTTGGTAGGCGTGGGGGCAACGAAAAATGACGTAGAGATCGTGACTCGACTGCAAAAGAAAATTTGTGGATATTCAGTATTAAAAAAGTCTTCGTCTCAACGTGGTTTTAATTTCCTGGAAGTTGTTGAGGATGACGGATCAATATTGAATATTCTTCTGTAGTTCATTTCTAAGCGGTTTCAAAACTGCAAACCTTAGTATTGAAAATTCTGCGATGCGAAATATGAACGTTTGACGTTACTGATGGATACTCATTATGTGGTGTAGCTTCTTCATTTCCTCGTCGCGCATATTCCATTCCATTCTACGTTGTTGTCATTATTATTACTGTTGCTATTTTTGTTTTATTTGTTGTTTTTGTTGTCAACTTCACGCTCTGCTAATAGCCACTAGACCGAAATAATTTATTCAACACACCCGTAAACGAGACAGACACACATACCATCCACACACACACCCAAACATACACAAACAGAGCATTTTATGTGTGGAGAGGGAGGAAATTGCATTAGATGTATGTGTGTTGGTGTGCCACACAAATCCACATACAATTTACTGCATTTTAAAAGTTTTGAGTTCTTTGTATGAGTGCATGTGTGTATGGGTATGGTGCGCGTGCGCGTTCCGCAGCATGTGGAACGAATGCACTGGCAACATTTCTTTACTCAAATTAAACTAAACTTTTTGTGATTACAATAAAAATTTCGCTACTAGCCACCAAAATAACAGCAACCATGACACCAAAAACTATAAAATTTTTGGGAAATTGTTTTTGCCTGTGCGCGCTTTTTTCAACACACAGAGGCATACGCCACCACTACCGCCACAAATTGCAACGCTGCTACAACTGTGCTTCCGTTAATCACTGATACCACCATATTTGCGCTTTTTGCTATTTTTGTTATTATAATAGCAAGAATTGCATAGAAGTCGCATGTGAGCGTTGACGCGCGCTGTTGCCGCGCGCCTTTCGCCCTCACTTGCTCACACGCCCAGCGCTATCGTTGATTGTTGCTCTTGCTTTAGCTGCGCTTCGTTATTGTTTCCTTCCTCAATTCAGTTGGCGAAAAGTAGCAAAGCAAACAGAATAAAACAACTGTTTGTAAAATTTCCCGCTCGCATTGGTTTTGCTGGCAGCGCGCGCGCCGCATTGCATTCAGCTGACCGCGACGTCGTAAGCGTTGCGGTTCAGCGCGCGCACTCGTTCGCACGCTCGCTAACTCCGTCCGCTTTGCGTATTTGCTTAGCGCTTCTTTGTTTTAATCTCCTTTTTACTCTGTGTTTGCTCAATAGTTTTGTTTTATGACCAGCGTGTTGGTTTATTTGTTTTGCCGTTGTGTTTTTTTATTGTTATTTAATTTTAATTTGCCTGCTTCCTTTACTTTATATTCGTTTTGCTACCATATCTGCTACCAGTTCGACTTTATTGCTTTTATTTACCTTACTTAGATGGCGTTTATATGGAGACACTTTTGTCGCGCTCATTATCGGCAAACTCTCTTTTGGTATGACTCTGTGCGTTCACATGTGCGAAAAGTGACCAGCATCTCGAGTAAAGTTTTTCTGTTATCTTGAAACTATGAAAAGAATTTCAAAATGTAAAGGAGTTTCAAAAATAATTTCATAGCAGCGAACTGTTACAAACAAGAACCCGAATCGTGCCACCCGGATACCAAAGGCACGGTCCTTCCGTCTTTCCAAAGAAAAAACCGTGATTTGGGCGACAACAGAGTCCGTGCGTGACACAAACCGTGCTCTCCGAGCACAAGCGATACGGGTTTTTCGTATTTCCTCGTCGTCCGCTCACTCCCAAAACCCCGCTTTGGGCGACAAAAGAATGCGTGTGTGAACTGACACTTATTTTCGTTGGGTTTATGCATTTATGCAGTCACTAACGACGCGTTTTTAATTTCATTCATCAACAATATTCAGTATGAATAACAGTAATAACACAACGACAGTGCGACTTCAAGCGTACGAGTCCACACTTGCATCGTTACATCCAAACACAGATGTTCGTGGGTTGGTGTGTCAAAACGCAGCCGCTAAGAATTTCACTCAACGTACGGCCGGCCTTTTACTACTATGTATCGGGGGCGTATTCGAAGCAAAGGTTTGGACTTCGTAGGCGTATTATCATAACTGGTAGATTTTGCGTAGAGTCTTAGTGACCAAAACTGCTCTTTTTAAAAACCTATGAAAATACTGGAAATGAACTTCGTTTACGCTGGAAACGGACTCGGTTTATACTGACAAGAAACCCAGTTTATACTGGAAACGGACCCACTTTATATCGTATATCAAAATATCACATCAGGATCAAATCTATTTGCTGCTGGTTTCAAATATTAGTTTTGATGAATTTTTATGAGGAGTGGGCCTTTTAAAGACATCTAACGGATTCTTCTTAAAGTCAAATTTTGAAAGGCCGAAGCACATATATCAAAAACTTGAAGTTTACCTCTCTTATAGGGTTTATTTTGAATCATATGGCCACCTATTTCTGCAACGAATGCGAACGCTCGTTCTTTTGCATATACACAAGCTTTGGCGACTGATTACTATTTATTGTTTTAACATTTTTTTTTGTCAATTCGCCTTTATAAGGCTTCTCATTGACAACTTCAGCGGCAAATAATCGCACTTATATATATAAGTAAGTGCACACATACACATACTAGAATATTTTATACGGCACACTTTGCTCTACAAATCAGCTGGAATCAGCTGTTTTACGCGACTTTATCGGTCCATTAGCAGATATACTCGTATGTGTAAATATGTATGCATGTATGAGAATGTATGAGTGTGATAACTTCTGTTATGCGCACATGCTTTGCATGCGAGTGCATTGCTGTTAAGTTAGTAAGTTTTTTTTTATACCCTAAACCGGGTATCCTGTTCATCGGTCTGTATATACGTGAATTAGCCCCTCAGTATTTAAGATATCGCTCTGAAATCTGGCACACATCCATTTCTCTTCAATAAGTTGCCAAATGTTCCGAAGTTGTGATAATGGACTGCTGTAGCTTATAGCTGCCATAGAAATTGAAGGATCGAAATCAAGTGCTTGTGTGAAAAACGTTTTCTTTTGGCAAGATATCTTCGCAAAATATTCGAAGAAATTTTCCAGACCGCTTCACTATAGCATATAGCTACCATAATAAAACAATGAACCGAATTAAGCTCTTCTTTTGTTTGGGGAGGGTATTCTAGCTTTGCTGCAAGCGCTTTTAAGGTTTTTTCTTAATATATTTAAATATAATATAATTCTTAATTTAATATAAACATTTTATTTACTTAAAATTATTGCAGACAATCTAGTTAGTTAGTTTATTTTTTGTCTAGCATTTTTCCTCATATTTGCTTTTTTGCTGAGTTTGATTTATATTTGGTAACTGATTAGGTGTTGACTACGAGCGCTAGATCTGTGAGTGAAAATGTTGCACTATAAAAATGTGAAAACAGACGTATTTAAATCTTCATATATACATTCTTTAGTATCTAGGAATATTCTCTAGTGTGTACGAGTAAATAAGCGTAGTTTATTAAGTGTGTATTCAAATAGAAGCATACACCTAAAGTTTTGTTCATAATTTAATCTATAGTATGCCGTTACCTTGAGTCATTTTTGTTTGTTATCTTCAACGCAGTTTTGCTAAAATGTAGTTTGCTTACCAAGATTACGCTATATTGTGCTCATATGTCTGGTCTAAGTGTGTAACTGGCTTTGGCAGTACATAAAAGCGGAGTCGCTGTGGGGGTTAAAGGTAAAACTGGAGTACTGGAGTACCACCAAAATACTACTAGTTTTGCGTCAGATATTTTAAACATTGCAAATATTTCACTAGAAAACTGAGATTTTATTGCTTATATGCGCAAAACAATTTCATTTGGTATTAAATATCGGCTTAGTAAAACCTATGATACCTCTTAAATTTTGTAAGGTTTTTATTTAAAAATTT